ATGGATTGGAAGAATTAATATCCTTAAAATGTCCATACTACCAAAAGCAATTTATAGGTTCAACGCAATCCCTATTAAGATACCAACGACGTATTTCACAGAAATAGAACAGACATTTCAAAAATTTATATGGAACCATAAACGACCTCGTAGCCACAGCAATTTTGAGAAGAAACACAAAGTAGGAGGGATCACAATACCGGACATCAAACTCTACTACAAAGCCACTATACTCAAAACAATCTGGTACTGGCACAAGAACAGACCCTTAGACCAGTGGAACAGAATAGAAAGCCCAGAAATAAGCCCAGGTCTCCATGGACATCTAATATTTGACAAAGGGGGCAGAAGCATAAAATGGGGCGATAACAGCCTCTTCAACAAATGGTGTTGGGAGAGCTGGATGGCTACATGCAAAAAATTGAAATTGGATCATCAGCTGACACCATACACAAAAATAAACTCAAGATGGATAAAAGACTTAAATATAAGTCGCAACACCATCAAAGTCCTAGAGGAGAACATTGGCAGGAAACTCTCAGATATCCCACACAGCAATTTTTTCACCAATATGTCTCCTAAAGCAAGGGACATAAAGGAAAGAATAAACAAGTGGGACCTCATCAAAATAAGAAACTTCTGCACGGCTAAAGAAAACATCAGCAAAATGAAAAGGGAGCCAACCATTTGGGAAAATATATTTGCTAATGATACATCAGATAGAGGTTTGATCTCCAAGATATACAAAGAACTCACTCGACTTTACTCCAAGAAGACAAACGATCCAATCAAAAAATGGGCAAAGGACCTGGGCAGACGCTTTTCTAAGGAGGAGATACAGAGGGCCCAGAGGCATTTGAAAGGATGCTCTGCATCACTAGCCATCAGAGAAATGCAGATCAAAACCACCATGAGGTACCACCTCACACCGGTCAGAATGGCCATCATAAACAGATCCACAAACAACAGGTGCTGGCGAGGCTGTGGAGAAAAGGGAACTCTAGTCCACTGTTGGTGGGAATGCAGACTGGTGCAGCCACTATGGAAAGCAGTGTGGAATTTCCTCAGAAAGCTGAAAATGGAACTGCCTTTTGATCCAGCGATTCCCCTGCTGAGACTATACCCTGAGAACACCAAAACGCCAATACAAAAGAACCTATGCACCCCAATGTTCATAGCAGCACAATTAACAATAGCCAAGTGTTGGAAGCAACCTAAATGCCCATCAGTAGATGACTGGATCAAAAAATTATGGTACATATACACAATGGAATACTACGCAGCAGAAAGAAAAAAGAAGTACTAAACTTTGCGACAGCATGGATGGAACTGGAGAGCATCATGCTAAGCGAAATAAGCCAGGGGGCGAAAGACAAATACCATATGATCTCACCTATAAGCGGAACCTAACCAACAATGCAAAGAAGCAAGGAAAATATGACCAGCAACACTGAAAGGAAAAGAAATCAACAGAGACAAGAGGGAAGGGGGGGGCAGGGAAAGGGAAGGGAAGGGGAAAGTCAAGGAACATATAGCAAGGACTCATGGACAAAACCAAAGGGGAAGAGCTGAGGGAGGGAAGGTGGGAGGGGGCAAGGGAAAGAGGTGGGGGGAAGGCAGAGACAAATGTATTTAAAAAGTAAATAAATTAATTAAAAAAAAAAAAGAATTGATTTTTTTCAGTAAAGCAATAGCTGTGAAGTAGGTCTAAGGAGCAATTAATTCAAATTAGAATAAGTGGATGGAGGACTTTAAGGAAGTCTCCAGGGTAAAATGGAATTTATTATTGCTATGGACTGGACTATGTTCCATCCACCCACCCCCACAATTCATGTTGAAGCCCTAACCCCCTTTTGACCATACTGGAAAAACAGACTTTAAGGAGGTGATTAAGGTTAAATGAGGTCATAAAAGTAGAGTCCTGATCTGGCAGAATCACTAGTGTCCTTATAAAAAGGGCAGAGACACAAAAGTCTGTCTGTCTGTGCCAAGTGAGGACACATCTAGAAAGTGGCAGTCTGAAAGCCAGGGAGTCCTCACCAAAAACCAAAGCCTCCTGCAACCTTCATCTGGGGATGTCGCAGTCTCCAGAACTGTGAGAAAATGAGTATCTGTCACTTAAGCCACCCAGTCTCTGGCAGTTCGCTGTGGCAGCTCTAGGAGACTAAGATGACAATTTTACATATGGAATACAGGTATCTCCCGCTTTCCAAAAGTTTGCATTAGGCAAACTTAGGTCTTTTGTAAAAGCAAAGTAACATAACACAAATCTGCTTAAAGCAAATTTTTGGAAAGTGGAAGATATTTTTCACTTTATGCCATTTTGGCTTACGAAAGGTTTTATCGGACTACTCTACAGTTATTCCTCAGTATCCACAGGCGATTAGTTCCCAAACCCCCAAGGATGCATAAATCTGTAGATGCTCCCGTCCCTTACACAAAATAACCTAGTGTTTCCACATAACCTATTCATATCCTACAGTATACCTTCAACCATGACTAGATTATTTATTTTTGTTCCCGCCTTCCCCCGCCTTCCCCCGCCCCTAGGGTGGGGAGGCGGAGTCCGGTGGGAGACAGGCACTGCTGGGGTAGGGCCGACTGCCCCGACCCCGGGGCAGACGGGTGGTGACACTGGAAGCGTCTTTAAACGTCATGCAACAGGAAAAGGGAGAGGGCGAACGCCCCCACGGCCACGGCCACGGCCACCGCCGCCTCAGCCTGGACGCCGGCCTCCGCGGCTCCCGCCATCCGCCCTACTGGGCTGCTATGGGGTCAGCCCCCGCCACCACTGCCCCCTACTGCCTGATGCCACCCGTTCGAGCCTCCGAGCCTCCGCCTTTCCCTGCCCCTCCGCCCGCGCCTCCCCGCACCCGCGAGGCCCAGGCCCCTCGCCACAGAGGCTGAGGGGCTGCGACGGGAAGCGGGGTGCGGGCGGGGGAGGCACGGGCGCGGTGGGGGCGTGAAGGAAGAAATCCGGAACGGAGGGGTGCATCCCAGCAGCGTCGCAGGCAAAGGTCCGGGGCAGACGCTGGGAGAAAGCGGGGAGGCAGCCGAACGAGGAGACCCATCTGGGGCAGGCGGCGGCCAGGCGCCCTCGTGGATACCTGACCGCCCCCGGGAAAGGCCCACTGCCACTCAGCGCGACGCCTCCCGAGAGGCGCCAACAAACGGAAGGCGGCAGCGGGGTGAGCGTGGCCCGAGCGCCCTTCCTCTCCTCCTCCCCCCTCTCTCCAACTCTGGCGACAGGCGGCGCCCGCGACGGCCCTGGCCTGCGCCTGTAGTTAGCTTATTTATAATACGTAATATAGTATAAATGTTATGTAAATAATTGCTATACTATACTGTTTAGGGAATAATGACAAGAAAAAAAGTCTGTACATGTTCACCAACCATCGTAGGCCTAACTACATAGCACATGTCAGCAACAACGTAGCTTTTCCCCCCAATTTTTTTGAGCTGCGGTTGGTGGAAGCCATGGGTGCAGAGCTGGGATACTTCGGAGACCAGTATCCTTGAGAGACCACTGGATGATGTGTGAGGAACTGACATAAGTATACTTTTCAAGCAAACTTTTAAAAGGCAGTTATTAACTCTAGAGAAACAAAAGTATTCCAAGGAAAATACACTCATAGTATACTGACTTAACAAAGACTAAAAATAGATTACTACGTCAGGACAGGGAGGGAAAAGAAATGGTTAGAAAGCTACATCTTACCCATCACAAGAGGAAGGCACCAATGACTAAAATCAAGAAATCAAGAAAAGGGCAGCACATAGCTTACAATTTCGAAATGTGCTATGCAAGTGTATGTCTTAAGACACAGAATAAAGAAAAACACCTGCCCAGCAAATCTGATAAATTTGACTTTGTAAATAACATGCATTATTCTTTGATTACAATTTTTATATTGCTTTAAACAAAGGAAGAGGATATATTCAACAAAGTCAAACACTGTAGTCAAAATAAGGACTTTAGGTACCCAGATCTATTAACCAGGAAGACACTACTGATCTTAAAAAACATTTCAGTGGGTTGGTAGGGGAAGAAGTCACACTGTACTGGGTTTAAATGGAAGGTAAAAATGCTAGTAGAATACTATTTAAAAAAAAAACAACTCTCTGCACATTATATTCATGACCCACATTTTGTCCATTGACAGGACTTGTTCTCTCCTAGTCACTAAACTTATATGAAAAGACAAAGTGAAACAATACAGTGCCCCGGTCTGTGCTCCTCCTGTCTCAGGAGATCATATCATCTCAGGAGAGAGTGACGTGCTTCCATCACAAGTGAGAGAAAAGGAACGAGTCCCTTTCTTTTATTCATTCGTTCAACACACACCTATTAAGACCTTTTGGGGACCAAATAGGCCAAGCTCTTCTAGATGACAGGGACACAGAAGTGAGGACCACAAGGTCCTTATCCTCCAGGAGGTCACAACCTAGTTGAGGGACCTTCACATAAACACATACATTTTACTATCACGTAGTACTTCAATAAAAGATAATAAATCAAGTACAAGAGAGAAGCAGAAACTGATCACCGCAGCCCTAGCAATCCTCAATGGCCAATATCTAATAAATCCCTCATTCCAGGCTGGGAAGAAAAAACTTAGGAGCCCTTGATTGGATTCCTCTAGCACTTGGTAGTCTAGTTACTGGAGATTAAACCAATGTGTTCAATATGTGAATAAGCCAAAGTAATTCCTATGTTGCTCAACATCAAAGCAGCTGTGTGCCCAGAGAAATCTGGAGTTTCAGTGCTATGCTTCCATGGCCAATCAAATTCCCATTTGCCTTCAGACTAATTTTCCTTAGACCCCAGGTATGTTTAAAAATTTCATAGGGGGAAGTGAGCATTACTCAGAAAAATAAACTGAGTGAACTACTTTGCCTAACTTCAAACCATGAAAATCTCTGCTTAGATAAATAAGCCTCTGACTAGTTTTAATCGGGGTCTCCCAAGAGCCCTCTTGGGCCCCACTATTCATACTTACTGTGCCGGTTGGACTCTCAAATATCCCAATCTTGCCAGCCTCCAACACCTGGTATAGCTCTGCCATGAAGTCCTTCTGGATGGAATATGGTGTGAAGGGAAAAGGGAAATGAATGCCACCAATCTCCTGGCTTTGATCAGCCATGACCCTAAGGGAGAAAAAAAGTCTCATAGTTCTCTGATGAGCCAGAAACAACTGGCTTGAAATCTAGGATAGTTCCTAAGAACAGTCTCAGTACCAGTTATGGAATTTCTCCTTAGGTTGTATATTTTTTTCTGCAAACAGGAACCACGTTCTCTCCATCATGTGCATACCCCCAAGAAGCCATACCAAATCCTGTACTCCATCTAGTGACATTTATCACAAATGGCTCTAGAAGAAGGAATCCTAGGAAAGCCCCTATATAGAAACTCCCTTCCATTTCACCTGGGATGCTTTTGCTGCTTGGATAGCTTTTCTTACATAGCATGGATTAACATATATGTCCCTATTTTACAGATATCTTTAGTTTGCTTGTTAGTTCATCCTACCCTCCATTTCCAGTAGCAACCAGAGCTGCCCCCACAAAACAGCTGGGCCTGAACAATCAGAGCTTTCTGTCCGGCTTCAGGCTGGCAGAGCTCTCCTCTCAAGGACTAAGCCTGGCTGGAAGAGCTCCAAATACGGAGACCACAGCATCTCTTTCCCTTGCCAGACCAAGGTCTAAGGAAAACTTTCCTGCTCTATGTTTATGTCGTATTTTTCCCCTCTTCTGAACCCGATTTCTCTGAGATAGTGTTTGCATACTTTCTTCCCTTAGTCACTGTTTGGAGGGCTGGCTCTTCCATCCTGGTCCCAAACTCTTCTCTTTGGAAGTCTCTGCTCTAAGCTACTTAGCAGGCCCGTCTTTCACAAGTACAAATATTAATAAACCTAAAACCATTTACATCTATGTTACCTAACTAGCCTCAGTAAGACCAGCAGTGGTGTCAATTCATTATGAAGGGAAAGGCAGTTGCTGTAATGTTCTTCCAGTTACAGTTTAGGGGCAGTTCGAATGGCTACAGAGGTGGAAGGATTAACTATATGAAAAGTGACTTTAAAAAACATGGACAATTCAATAATGAGAGGGGGGCATGCAATCAAATAACCATTAAAACATGAAGGGGAAGAGGAAAGGCATGTAACAAATTTTGAGCACCTATGTGTTAAACACTCCACAGGCCCTTTTACTTTTATTATCACATTTAATCTGAAAAACACTTAAGGATACAGTTGTTGCATATAGGTACTTAATAAAATAAAATAATTGTTCAAACTCTAGGCTAATTAGAAGAAAACCAGGGATCCAAACCCAAGTCCATATGAATGTTTTAATGAAATTTAACTGGCTGCAGGAGATAATCGACAGACATAAAAGGGAGATTTATGGAAAAGATACCTATTGAGAATTGAGACCATCTGGAAAAACCATGAACAGAAGCCATGGACAGCGTGGGAGTTCTGGCACACTAGACCTACTGACTCATTCAAATCTCAAAAACAGCTCCCAGAACCTCACCAACAAGTAAATATCCATGGATTTTCATTCTCTGGCTCACTCACATGCCAGATGGGGCCACTGACTGACTTCCTCTGCTTACTCACAGCTTCTGCTCATTCAGAACTTCAGCCTGCACATGGTCGCTCCAGCCCTCTGTACCTCTTAGCTTCAGCTCCCACTGCCAAGTGAAAGTGCTTTTCACGTTTCTTAGTTCTAAATCCCAAGAGAAATATCTGATCAGTACCTCCTGCCCTTTCACGACCGATCCCTGGTCAGACTACAGAAGGGTAAATAAAGCACCTAGCCTGATCTTGCTGCCCTCCCCACTCCCATCCCAGCCCCCACCCCAAGGAACAACAAGTCCTCAACATTTAGGACAGCTCAGCTCCTCAGTGAAGCCTCTCCCTCCATTTCTCAATCCTAGTGGTCAAATACCCTCCCTCCAAATACATATACGTGCACACATACTGCTCTACTTTAAAGTCTCTTTCATTTCAATACCCTATATTTAGTTTCTTCATTGCTCTTAGTGCTCACAACTAACTGGGTCGGCCAAAAAGTCCGTGTAGCTTTTTCCCATAAAATAAAGACACATTTTTCATTTTCACCAATGTCTTTATTGATTTGGATATTTTGAATATGTTGGCTATCTCTCGCATGGTATATCATTGTTTGTTCTCAATTAATGCCTCAGTTTGATCACTATCAACTTCAACTGGTTTACCCGATCATGGAGCATTGTCCAGCGAGAAATCTCTAGCACGAAACCTCGCAAACCACTTGTGACATGTTTGATCAGTCACAGCATCTTTTCCATACACTGTACCAAGCGTTGTTTCAGTTGTGTTTTTACCTTTCCTGAAATAATGAAGCATAATATGCCAAAAAGTTTGCTTATTTTCTTCCATCTTCAATATTAAAATGGTGACACAAAAATTCACCAATTTTGATGGGGTTTTTTTAATGCACACCAGTATGATGACAGCTGTCACAATAAAAATCTAACAAAATTGTTTGAAATGTAGTGAAAGGCAACTAAGTGCTACTAGAGCCATCTTACAGAAAAAAACAAATGAAATTCTTGGCCAACCCAATATTTTATTTAATCCTCCCCACTAGAATATACGAGGTCTGTTTGGAAAAAGTCCAGCCATTGTTAGCATAATAAGAATGGTGTGCATGAAACTGATGTAACCTGGCAGCCAAGGAGAGTGGACTGGAATGCACATGCGTGAACAATGGTGACTTTACTGTACTAGTTTGGGGGGGGCAGTAGATGCCATTGAGCAAGCGTGCATACTGTGTGGCCATTGCATTCAAAATGACTGAGTGAGTATAGGCAACAAACCTGCATCAAATTTTGTGTTAAGCTTGAACACTCCTCCATGGAACTATTCAGATGATTCAGAAGGCCACAGCTATGGGCAACTAGTGACTGGCAGCTTCATCATGACAACGCTGCTGTTCATGCATATCTTGTGCAGAGTATTTTGGCAAAACATCAAACCACCCAGGTGACTCGGCTCCCCTATAGCCCAGATCTGGCACCCTGCAACTTCTGGCTATTTCCAAACTATAATCACCTTTGAAATGGAAGAGATTTCAGACTGTCAATGAGATATAGGCAAATACGATGGGGCAGTTGATGGCAATTGGGAGAACTGTTTGAGGTCCCAAGGTGCCTACTTTGAAGGGGACTGAGGTGTCATTGTCCTATATCCAATGTTTCTTGTATCTTCTTCAGTAAGTGTCTCTATTTTTCATACTACATGGTTGGGTACCTTCTGGACAGACCTGGTAAGATGTCTATAAGGGACCCTGTCCACCTTGTTCTTCCCTGCCTTTAGCACTCAGAGAGTCAGGTGCTTTGGCAACTAGAAGGCATTTGATAAAAATCTGATGCATAAATAAAAAGCCAGCTTGATATGGGGGCTGTAGGTAGAGGTTTCTGTTCTTCAGAGGTGAGGGTGGAGGATGCCTCATGAGTTAAATATGTAGTCCACGGGATAGTTCTTTAATACTTTCAAACTGTTTTCATATAACCTCACAACAACCCTGTGTGGCCAGTATTTTTATTAGCTCTATTTTATAGATGAAAAAACTGACACCCAGAAACAATTTGCCCACAGTCAATCAGCAACTGCCTGAACCCATGCTTTGAATGCACATCTACCAGACCTCATGCCCTTGACTCTGTATTGCCTCACTCTTCCTTCTCACCAGGATAAGTAAGGTGAAGAGACTTGGTTACCAGCCTTTAGAGTGACAACAGGAAACAATACAGAAAGAGAGTGATTATTATTTCACTCCCTGGGGGTGGTAATTACGGATCTCATTATTCTAGAGGTGGCAAAAGCTAAGTGAGAAGTTAAGGAAGAGTTTAGCCCTGGCCAGGTGGCACAGTTGGTTGGAGCTTCATCCTGTATATCAAAAGGTTGATATTCAATTCCTGGTCTGGGTACATAGCTAGGTTGCGGGTTTGATTCCTGGTCGGGTCGCCTATGGGAGGCAACTGATCAATGTTTCTCTCTCACATTGATGTTTCTCTCTCCATTCTTCTCTAAAATCAATAAACATATCCTCAGGTGAGGATTTAAAAATAAGAGTTTAGATAAATCCATGAATAGTGGATACATTAAACACACCTTTTAAGGATGCTTGTGTTGCTTTTTCTGATCTCTTCAGGTTGGTTACAGGGAGGACAACCATGACCTCCCACACAAGTTGTTCCTAGAATTCCCCACCAGTGCTAGGGCACACATCAGCACAGAAAACCTTATGCTCATTAACTGTGAAAGAACCTCAGGTACACTCTGAAAGTGTTCTGAAAGTGTTCATGTTCTTCAGTCTTCCATTACCACTCGTTATTTACCTGGGCATAAACTATTGTTACAGACTGACCTGTGTCCCAGCCCTCCCACAAATTCATCTGTTAAAGTCCCAACCCCCAACATTAAGACTCTACTTAGAGACAAGACTTTTAGGAGGTAACTAACATTAAATGAAAAAGGTAATTAGGATTAAATTAAGTCATTAACAGTGGGGTCCTAATCCTCATAAGAGGAAGAGAGAGAAATCTCTCTTCACCAGCCATGTGTGGACACGAAGAGGGCCTTCTGCAAGAGCGGAAGAGGGTCCTCGCCAGGGACCGAATAGGCTAGGACCTTGATCTTGGACTTCCCAGCCTCTAAAACTTTAAGAAAAAAATTATGTTGTTTAAGCTATCCAGTGTATGGTATTTTGTTATGGAAGCCACAGTAGACAGAAACAACTATGTTCCAGAAACTATCCAGCTTTTAAGCTTCTAAAATGCTTTAACTTCACACTCCTGGGAGACAACACAATCCCAAAACAAAACGTTTTCTGCACCTACTGTTAATCCAGAGCCACACTATGCAGCAGCGCTGCAATACTCCCACGGCTGGGGACTGGCCTGGCCCACAACCTTGCCCTGGCCTTCTGTCTCCCTCCCAGCTCCATCCTCAGAGCGCTCACACTTACAAGTAGGAAAATCCTGCTACTTATAAGTATTTACTTCTATTTTTCATGGCACATCCTCCAATGGTCTGGTCAGTTCCACTCATCCGAATCCCCTTTACTTGGACCTCACTCCACGTTGATTTTCTGAAGGGCAGACAGTAGGGCAGAACCATTAACAGTGTGGGCTCTGGGGTCACAGTGCCAAATTTGGTATTCCAGCTGTATTCGTGCCTAATACCTCCAATCCTCGGTTTCCTCATGTGTAAAAGAGAGATAGGTAAAAGCGCGTACTCATAAGGTCGCGGTGACCGCTAAATAAGATATTTTACAAAACGCGCTTATTTTAGGACTATTTAACCTCCTGGTGCGTGTTAGCTAATATTACTCCAAAGCGACGCTCCAGTTTAACTGCAGAGCCAGCCCTTACCTCCCCTTCCCCTTCGCATGGGTTTCTCGCCTGTCCATCACACCTTAACCCCGCCCCCACAGATCCGGAAGGTTTTTCCCGCTCCGGACTCCCCCCACGCCCTGGCAAGTCTCTGGTTTGCGCTTACCCCAGAGTTTGCCCTTTCTCACTTCGTTTCTCCTCGTACTCAGCTTTGTTACCAACACCGCACCCTGCTCACCCTATTTCCGGGAACGACAGCTTTGCTTCAGGGAAGGCTGGTGAGGTATCAGAGCAAATGTGCCCGAATTGAAATTCGCGGTTCCTTTGGATCACAGCAACTCCAAGTGGAGCGTGCAGCGCCGCCACGCCCCGCGCCACTGCGTGTGCGCACTGGGGGACTTGGGCGTGGTCTCTCTTTTTGCACCATTGCGCTTGCGCGTCTGGCTCAGAGGAGGACTGTTTTCCGGCGTGGATCTTGGACGTCAGGGTCTCTCAGACGGTCTTTTCTGAGCACAGCCTTTGGACTGGATGCTGGACTTCATCTGCCCTCCTGCCTAAGGCAGAATGTTTAATCCTCCGCCAGTTACGCTAGAGGTACTAAGCGCTCTACAGTTGCTGGACCTGGTCAAACTGCCGGATATTTACCAAACACTGGAGGGGCCAAAATACTGTACGCGAGAATTGAGGAACCCCGCTACTGTCGGGCCTTAAAATGTATGAACCTGTTACTTTACCTCTAAATGGACGGTACACACCTCGCTTGTGAGTGGGTTGTGCAGGAACTAACGTCTTTTTTTTTTTTTCCAATTGCAGTTGACGTAAAATACTAGTTTCAGGAGTATTACATACTGATTAAACATTCATATAATTTACGAAGTGATCACCCTGAAAAGTCTAGTACCCACCTGACACCATATATACTTATTAAAATATTACTGGATTTTTCTGTATGCTCTATTTTACAGCTCCCCCTACCCCCACCGACTGTTATAAATGGCAATTCGTACTTTTTAATTCCTTCACGCTTTTCACCCATTGTCCAAATCCCCTCCCGTCTGGCAAATCTGGCAACCATTAAGTTTTTCCTTGCATCCATGAGTTTGTTTCTGTTTTCCTTGTTTATTTTGTTTTGTAGCTTCCGCATGAGTGAAATCATGGGGCATTTGTCCTTGTCTCATTTCACTTAGAATAGTAATGCCCTCTAGGTCCATCCTTATTGTTGCAAGGGGCAAGATTTCATTCCTTTTTATGGCTGAGTAATATTCCATTATGTATGAACCACATCCTTATCCATTTGTCTATGAGTGGACATTACGTTGCTTCCATTTTGTGGCTATGTAAATAGTGATGCAATGAACAGTGGGGCTGCATATATCTTTTTGAATTAGTGTATTGGATACCTTTGGATAAATACCCAGATTTGGAATTGCTGGGTCATAAGGTAGTTCTATTTTGAATTTTCTGAGGAACTTCCATACTATTCTCCACAGGGGCTGCACCAGTTTATAATCCCACCAACAGTGCAAGAGGATTCTCTTTTTCTCCACATCCTCCCAACACTTCTTTGTGGATTAATTGGTGATAGATATTGACAGGTGTGAAGTGATAGCTCACTGTGGTTTTAATTTGCATTTCTCTGATGATTAGTGATGTTGATCATCTTTTCATATGTCTGTTGGCCATCTGTATGTCTTTTTGGAGAAATGTATATTCAGGACCTTTGCCCATTTTTTAATTCAATTTTTTTTTATGTTGACTTGTATGACTTCTTTATAAATTTTGGATATTAACTACTTACCAGATGTATCATCAGTGAATATGTTCTCTCACTCAGTGGGTTTCTTTTCATTTTGATGGTTTCCTTTGCAAACACTTTAGTTTGCTGTAATCCCATTTGTGTATTATTTCTTGTTTCCTTTGCCCGAGGAGACATCCCCCCAAAAAATATTAAGAGCAATGTCAAAGAGTTTACTACCTACATTTTATTCTAGAAGGTTTATGGTTTCAGGTTTACATTTAAGTAAATCTTAAGTAAAATCCAGTAAATCTTTAATCCATTTTGAGTTTATTCTTCTATGTGGTACAAGAAAGCAATTCAGTTTCATTCTTTTGCATGTATCTGTCCAACTTTCCCAACACCTTTTATTCTTTTAAGCACATTTTCTTTTTTGTTTTAAAAGTACATTTTAGGATGGCAAATCCTTTTTTTAAAAGATTTTATTTATTTTTAGAGAGAGGGGAAGGGAGGGAAAAAGAGGGAGAAAAACATCAGTGTGTGGTTGCCTCTCTCACACCCCCCACCAAGGACCTGGCCCACAACCCAGGCATGTGCCCTGACTGGGAATCAAACCAATGCCCCCTTGGTTCACAGGCTGGCACTCAATCCACTGAGCCATGCCAGCCAGGGCTTTAAGTATATATTCTTGATCATGCTGTAACAGTTGCCCATATTTTTCTCCCCTTTATCCCCCTCTGACCGGTACCCCCATTCCCCCCCAGCATTCCCCGCTCCCCTAGTTCATGTCCATGGGTCATTAATGTAAGTTCTTTGGTTTCTCCATTTCCTATATTATTCTTAACCTCCCCCTGTCTATTCTGTACCTACCATTTATGCTTCTATTCCCTGTACCTTTCCCCCCACTCACCCCCTTCTCCCTCTCAGGTGGTAACCCTCCATGTGATCTCCATTTCTGTGATTCTGTTCCTCTTCTAGTTGTTCCCTCCACTTGAGGAATTTTTATGATCCCTTAACATTTATAATTGTCATTATTAATTGACAATAATTTCCTTTTTAAAATGACATATTTCTAGGTATCCATATAACATTTCCATATATGAGATTTTGGAGTGAGTGGAAAAGAAAGAAGAAATGGGAAAACTTTTAAAACCATATTAAATGTTTACATGGAAAATAACCACATTTCTACCACTTATAAGCTGTGTGACTTTGCAAAATGTCTTACCATCTCTTTGCCCGTTTTCCTATTAGTAAAATGAGATCATGACATTGTAGCCTGTGACAGATATTATCCTGTATAATTTTCAGTATGGCAAGGTAAAAAATATCATTAAATATTACCAATGTAGAAATAATGTAATTAACATCTAAAATGTGACAGGCAAATAATTCCAATGACAGGTAATTGCAAATATTTCCTATTGAGAACATGTCTTTTTTCTTATGCCTTTATTTATTTATTTTTTTAGTTATTTTTATCCTCACCCAAGGACATGCTTATTGATTCTAGAAAGAAAGGAAAAGGGAGACAGAGTGCAAGAGATGGAGAGAAACATCAAAGTGAGAGGAAGATCAATTGGTTGCCTCATGCACGCCTTAAATGGGAACTGAATCTGCAATCCAATAAGCTTTAATTAATTTATTTTTTTGACTTTTAATTTCCTTCCTGACAACATGAATTTTGTCAGTGAATCAACCAGATCTGTTCAAGATTAATTCACTGTGAAACTGGCTAACTGGCCACATTACATTGCAAAAAAATGATTAAATGTATAACAACTAAGAGAAAAAAATGAGATACATAATAGTAGAATAATAGCAGCTAATACATGTGAGCACTTACTATGTACCATTTACTATTCTAACTGTTTTGCATGAAATAACTTATTTTTATCTACTTAAATTATATGACAATATACATATTATTTCAGGTCTACAATCTTTTACCTACAGTTTGAAATCAAATGTCTCTGAAAACTTTTTTTTTTACACTGGCAGAAATCTGACATGCATTGATATGAAGCTATTTATATTCTTGAATTATCTTTTAATTTGAATATTAATTTCGTTGCAGCAATTTTACTATTTACTATTTTAATATGCTTCTTGAGACTACTGTGACTGTTATATAAATGTAAAATGTTTGCACTCAAATTACCTATTTAAAATTAAAAACATTCTGAATTGAAATATCCTTGGATCCAAAGGTTTTGGAAAGTGAGTTGTAAACCTATATTATTATGCTCATTTCACCTATAGGTATGTTGGGGCACAGAGACAGAAAGTCATTTTGAAAAGTCACACAGCTTGTAAGTAGTAGAAATGTGATTAATTTTCATGTAAACATTTAATACGGTTTTAAAATTTTTTCCTATTTCTTTCTCTTTTTTCACTGCCTCCAAAATCTCAAATATAGAATGTTAGATGGATAACTAGAGATATGAGTGTCACTTTGAAAAACTAGAAAAGCTTACCATTCCCAATATTGGTAGCTAAAAAACCATTTGTATTTTACGAAGACCTATTGGTCAACCCAGACGAGTCCTCTGAGACTGAAACATTAATTTATTTGAATATATGTGCATCAAGGTTACTCCAAAAGGGTGCCAAACGCTTTGCCAGCATGTACTGTCAAATGTGAATGACTATGTAATAATCAGTGTGAAATGTGGAATTACAGAGCAAGCAAAGTGTTCAAAGGGCTTAAGTGCTTGGGGTGAATGTTAGGAAATTAAATTTCTGTTCCTAGATCAGAAACCAAATTGTCATGTGACTTTGAATAAATAAGGAGTATTTTATTTCACATGTTCCCATTTCTAATGTATTTACAATTGTTTCCATGAAATTTGTATGAAGTAAATGTACATGAGTATAGTTAATTGACCCTTTTTTAGGGAAGCCTAAAAGTGGTATTTATGACTATTTTAGGTAATTATGACTATTTTAATGTCTAATTTTAAGGCAGTTTGTCCCATTTTCACAGCATCAGAAGCCAAACTCAAAAATACCTGTAGTGCGTCCCAAGATAGAACATTTAAGCTAGTTTTCAAATTCTTTAACAGCTTTTTTTAAAATGACAAAACAATAATAATTTTGTAATCATACTTTAAATACAGATTCCCTCCTTAGTCAAACTGTAAATGTGTAAGTTAATAATTCAAGCATATTTGTCCCTAATACAATCTATATAATTAATATTCCCCAATTTCAGTAATTACTGGGACAGCAGAATACTGCAAACTCTCTCTTTTCACACCAGATCAGTGGCTTCTGATTTTTAGAATAATATATATTGCACAATTACTAAAACCTTTAGGTACACCAAAGAGTTGTCACCATGACTTATGTGGATGGCTCACTTATTAGGTCACTAATGTGAAAACATTTCTATCAAATCAAAGAATGTGGATAGGGCTTTATATTTGGTGATAGAGTATATACCCTCTAAAAAATATATAAATGTCCAGAATTATAAATTATACTAATCCATATTGCAGAATAGATCTCAAAAAAAAATTAAAGGGCTAGAAATGGATTGCTGTATATTGTAAGCTTTCTTCTCTGATTTTTGTTAACTTGTTAATTAAAGTATTCCAAAAACAAAGTTGCTTGGAAATGGGAGTAAGAATGTAATAAA